TGTGTGTGTGTGTGTGTGTATGTATGTATATATATATATAATCATGTTTTAGGGTTTTCGAGTTTAGGGTTTAGTAATTATTGAATAGCAAACAGTAATATTCGTCGACTCTTATACTCCAACTAATACTTAAAAGAAATTCGGTTGTGTAGGACAGCTCGAATCGGAACAGATTCGTCCCCTCTCCCGGGTGGCGTAGGTTTTTTTGTGTGATTTACGAGCCCCTACCGAAGATATGCGTCAGTTTCCTGAAGAAGCTCGAAGATGTTGTACCACTTCCTGAATAGTTTTCAAGGTTGATTGGATCTTGTTCGTCGCTTCTTATGTGTTCTTTACTTTTTGAGATACTGGACAAGTCGGATGCTTGCGGTATGACGAGTTCAGTCTCAAAGAACGACATGTCAGATCGCTCATAGACAGGAGTAGGCATGGCTGTACCGGACTGTGAGCTCATATCAAGATTTTCGGATTTGCATCGGTGTATCCGATGGTGAGTTTCTGCTTGGAGGTGATAACGCTCCGATGATATTTCCGCCTGTCATTTTTGTATACAATCGGGATAGACTTGCGTCTTGTACAAGCGACTTCGTTTTCTTCAACATGACTTTCGCTGCTACAGAGGTATCTGTATCGGAATACGCATCTGTCTCCGCATTCTCCTTACATGCGGAAGTACTCAGATCTCTATGTGAAATCGTGTTTGCATATAGGCCCGGCGTGACATTCTTAAGAAACCGTTTGTGAATGTATATCCGTATGAGTGCGCGTGATAATTAAGCTATCACTCGAATCGTGAAGAGGCGGCCGTGACAACAGCTCCCATGGTTCTTGAAAACTAGGAAATACCAAATTTACACCTACTGTCGCAGTGACCTTCCTCGAAAACTCCCGACGGACCTCATCAGATGAATGCACGGGAGATATCGCCTTTTTTTCGCTAGCGGTAAAACCTGCACAATTCTGGCCATCAAGCGGTAAGTGACACACGGGTGAGCAATCGGAATGATCGTTACATGAGCCCGATACGTGCATATCTAATACAGTATGTGAATTATCCACACTGTTACTCTTCGTATCAAAGTTGTTTTTTCTATGCATTCGTGCTCCCGCGGCTGTGTTCGTGCGTCGGGGTTTAAGCGATATACAATCGGCGTCGCCAACATTGGGCAATCCCCCCCGCACGGATAAATTAGAATATACCCGTGATGGCACAACCCGGTGTGGCAACAGCGCACTTCGACTGCGCATATGCTTTTTCGTTTTACCCCTGGAATAGAGAACAAGAATAAAAATAATTATGCCATTACGATTGGTACAAAATATATGCTGGACTGATCAAAGATAGAGCGATATGGGTTTCAAGCAAGGTGATCAAAGATAGAGTGGTATGGGTTTTCAAGCAAGGCAGGCTTTGTTAATCCATGTGAATATTTAAGTCCAGCATTGTTTTTGAACTGGCGTTAATGCTGCAAAAAATGTATTCGGGGCACTGCTTATTTTCACGATTGAAAGCCCTATGATTTGATCACCAGTTGTAGTATACTATCGAAATGGTGAAAAGAATATATGTATGTAAAACAAGACCTACACACGTAGCTTTGACCAGACTTTCTTCGGTGCTGTCAAATGATACAGTCTACTCTTTCTGGACGTAGCTCGGCAGTATTAGACAAATACATGGAGAATATCTACAGGTTTGCAACAAACTGCTAAATTCAGCAGTGGCCAAAAACTGGGTTCTCTTTGAGACTCGGCAATAAAGTGCTTCCCAGAACCCAACATTATGAGCAGCACTAATTAGACTCAACATGTCATCTTTCAGAACGAAAACCTAATCATCAACTCAAATAAATTTTCGGTTTCTAAAGGACATCCTTGTATAAAAACATCCAAAAAATACATTCACGAATATATACTTCCACTTTAAACCTTTAAGCTATCAATATGAACATGGTGTCAACTGGCATTGTAGGACTATTTAGTGTATTTACTAGCAGTATCCCATGAACGAGAAAAAAACAAGTAAAAAAAATTGGAATTAATCACGTCAAACGGATACTATGCTATAATCCTCATGCACATACCGGACTTTTTTCAACAGCGATGTGTCTTTGCCGAATTCACCCTCGCGCGGAGATGATGATGTACTTCTACTCCGATCGATACTAATTTTCCCCTCGGGAGTGTAAGCTGGCGAATCCACTTGTCTAGTTATCTGTAAACCATCGTTCTGCGATTCTACAGTAGTAGGAACCCTTTGTGATGTCACCGCGGATGAAGTAGAATGGGATGATTGAGTGTTTTCCAACTGCTCATGTTGTAGTACTTCTAGTGCTTTTCGTAAGTCAATCCTTTGCAGATCATACTTAGCCTTAATTTCTGCGGCCTTGAAATTGGGAAAAAATGAGCGCGAAATAGTACTCTCTCGCCCCTGAATATTAACTCTCGGTCATAAACGCGGTACACTCTTGTAATACTACAAATGCATACAATGTTTGTTATTCTCACAGCCTCAACACGTGATCGAACTAAGAGCAGTTGTGCGCGCATTTGAGTACTGAATTGTTCGCGAGGGAATATTGATATATTCGCCACTCATAGTACTCAGCGTGAATCTATAGGTATAACAAAGCCCACTTGCTCTTTGTCTTACCGCACAAGGTAACTAATTATGTGTGTACAGAACGATCAGCCATCAATACACTTAGAACCCATAGATACGCGTTTCTGCGCATTTTTTTTTTGCAAATACTCAAATAAATCTAACACATGGTACACAAGGGGCTTTCTATATGTTCTATTCATATATATGCATACTCTGGCCTTCTATGTGACTATGCATCAGCAAGTACCCACATAATTGTCTTGTTGAAAACTCTTCCCGGTTTTTTTCTTCGTAGTTTAGCGCTTTCAAGATCACTTATTATTCTGACACTGGCATTGTCTCCCATTTAGGCTACAAGAAGGTTATAAAGCATACCCTTTTAGCAGTCTCGTTCCGCCACGGCAATCTTTGGATTGCAGGGAGAAACGAAAGAAAATATACCTATACATATTATAGCGCTTGTAATATTATCAAAGTAAGGGTCTTCGAGAGCGTACTCGCTGCGAATTGTATGGTCTGAAGATACGCGATAGCATTGCAGAGTTGCTTTTGATGAGCTTCCATATGTTTTCGCAAATTTATATAGATTCCTCAAAAAAATATCACATCGATATATATAGCACTTCTCTGGTGGGTCAAGCGGCATCATTCTAGTTCGAGAAACCAACGCATATCTGTCATGTACAAACGCACGCAATGGAACAAAACTAGTCAACATGTCATGTCTACGTTCGGGTATGGTATGTAAGTATATTGCAACCAAAGACAGACGTAGCGTTCATTAGAATCTTAACGGCGCCGTCATCCCGATCAAACGAACATGTTCTCAACTACGATACTAACGACTAGTATTTTTCTAGAAATCATCGCACATCTGCGGAGAACATACACATCTTGACGAGACCAAGATAAGGTATCACACCCCCAAAAAAGTAGGAAAGCAATAGACGAATAAATTATAAACCGGCATTGGGTACTATCACTGTAAAAAAAAAGGATGGACAAAGGAATACTCATTGATACTGAAAGATATCGTCTGATGTATCTTGAGCACACACATACTTCTCTCCATGCTAGTTGGTCCATTCTGGTCTTGAAGTTCGAATCATCGCACACATACAGCTTGAGGCCGCGATCAATACGACCCCAGCCTAGCATCAGAGCTAAGGGATAATCGTTGTAACTATTTAGTATTCTGTCATCTGCTAAAATGATACAGTATATAAGGTAATTGATAGTATCAAAATCCATGGACAGAGAAATGTCAATGCATCTGTACTATTTGTTAAATTCAGTAGCTCAAATCTCTTGAGAGCTACATAAATAACTCCCTAAATGATTATTTATATTTGTAGCAATACACACACATACACAAACATACACACACACACACACATATA